CTGGATGGCCTGTAAGTTCTCTCCCAATCCAAACCGGTCTGTGATTCCATTAACTACCTTTTGAACTTCCAAAAATTAAAGCTCCTTCACTTATCCTGCATTTTGGATCATCCAACACTCCTGGTGCCAACACACACCACGTCTCCCCAGCCCAAAAATCCCCTCCTTCCCCTTCCTGAACTTCAGGCTCCTACAACCTCTCATTGATCCCCTTTATTAGTAATAGTAATGATTAATGATGATGATTAGTAATGATTAATACTGATGTACCACTAACCCCAGCCTCAGGAGCTCACCTGGAGTAGCAGGAGAGGCTGGTGCTGACCACGGTGTTGAACACGGCCACGGGCACGTAGCAGTGGTGGAAGGTGGAGCCCACCCATTCCAGGGGGAACACGTAGGCTGAGTAGGCCAGAGCAGACCCTGGGATGGAGCACGGGAGGAGCAGGGTTAGTTCCAGGCCCTGCTGGACCCTCCCCGTCCTCCTGGGCACAGCTGGAACCTCCCAGCTGGCACTGGGCACTGGGAACTCTGCAAGCAGGAGAAGGGGTGGAGGAGGGAGAGGGGAGCAGAGGCAGACACGGCTCCTGCAGGCAGTATTCCAGAGGGATGGAGGTGTGTGGAGCCACAGGAAGCCCCTGGATGGTGCTGCTGCTCCCCCAGCGAGGCACCACCGGCCTCACTGACACCATTTGTCTTAAATGTGGGTTTTTTCCTTATCCTATCTCCCCCAGAGCCCCCCGGGTGTCACACGGCCAGGTCCGTGTCCCCAGACCATTCCCTGGGGTGGGGAAGCACCAGGGATGCTCCATGGTCCCTCTGGAGCAGAGGAGGAGGAGGAGGAGGAGTGGGAGCCCCTCTCCAGCCCGGCTGTGCCCTCGGGGTGTGCTTTGGGCTCAGTTCGGTGCTGCTGGGGGGGTTTGGGCTCCATGACCTGGCAGGGCTGTTCCAGCCTTGCTCCCTGCCTGTGCCCCGGCTGTACCCCTCCCCTGGGTGATCGAGGTGCCCCGGCCGTGCCCCTCCCCTGGGTGCCCGAGGTGCCCTGGCTGTGCCCCTCACCCAGGCTGTAGGTGCTGAGGGCGGCGTAGTCGCAGAAGTAGCAGAGGTGGCGGGCACGGCAGGACATGGTGCTGAAGGTGTGGGCACAGCTGGAGGCCAGTGGGTAGATGCAGCAGGTCACCAGGTAGGCCAGGAGGGGCCAGGCCTGGGGGTCCTCCCAGCCCCCCTGCAGCCGCCCCAGCAGCGTCCACACGAAGTACCTGTGGGGTGGAGGGAGGTGGGATCACCCTGGGGGACAC